AGTGTAATTATCAACAGGAAACTATAAGGCTTAAACATTCTTTTGTTCAGTTGTTCTTATGATAAATCTGTATCATCAGGTGGGATAGTCCGCGTACCTGATTCGTGTCATGTGGGTGCGTGCGTGCGTGCGTGCGTCCGTGCCTGTGTTCGTGTGGGCATACGTGCTTGAACTTGTCACGACTGATACCAGTTATATAGTGCTCGCTCACTTTATACCATGCATGAGGTTGTGGGGTAACCTAGTGGTTATTTAAAGTGTTCGCTCGTCACGTTGAAGAGCTGTGTTCGATTCACCAAGTGGGTACAATGTGTGTGTGTGTGCGTGCGTGTGTGTGTGTGTGTGTGTGTGCGTGCGTGCGTGTGTGTGTGTGTGTGTGTGTGTGTGTATGTGTGCTTGTGTATGTGTGTAGGTAGGTAGGTTGATAGTTAGAACATCGAGATAAACAACCACGCGGTCAAAATTTTGAGGACTCAGCTGACAGCAGATCGTTGAGCCACTTAAGGGACCAAGGCACGACGAATTCGGACGTGTCGGACAACTTAACTCTCTTAGAACTGTCGAAAACATGCCACTGCTGATGAGCAATGTTAATTTTGCAGACGTTCATGAAAACCAGAAGAAAGTTTCCTGAAGTTAAACAGTTTCTCAAAATGGTCATCATAGGAAAATGGCATGAAGTGTCCTTTAAATCCAATTAAGAGTTGAACCAGTTGTCTTAAGCCTCATTAACTATACTTTTGTCTTGTTTTTCAATTTGATTTCACACTCATTACGCAAAAGTTCAATCCCTCTCCAATTCAGCTGATCATTTTCTTGGCTATTAGAACTGATCGTGTCTCTTGCAGAAATCCTAGAAATGCCCGACCAAAATAATGATTGGTAGAATGGCAGTGATTAGGTTACACTTCTATTTCTTTAACATATCATTTAGATATTGTTCGAACAAAAATGAAACAAGAAATGAATATTTCATGGGTAACTTCCACTTTAGGCTCACGGCCTGCATTGTGCCACATGACCTGTAGGTACATGCCCTTAACACTGGTATCTTCATATGACGTCTTAGAATCTGCAGTGGCCTATTTCCTATTGTGACCCCAAAATTGATACAAACTTAGACACACATCCACTTTGTTTGTTTGCAAACAAATCCAGCAGGTGGAGACACAACTAAATGCACAGAGACAATATCACGATTTAACACTTAACAATGAGTACATCGAGTCATTTTAAAGCTTGCAGCCAGCAATATTCAAACTATGTCACTATTGCCAATATATAGCCTCAACCATTGAAACCAGTGCTTGAAAGTATGATGAAACGTCCAATTAAGTCGGACCTTGCAACGTACATCAATGACACAAATGATGACCGACGCAATTCAGTAGTTTGACTTGTACCAACTGTTTTCAAGTGAAGAGGTGACAAGCCTTTGCATATGTTTATGTCGGGTGCCACCGATGGGGCAGGATACGCTCACCTCTTCGCAAATACCTGGTATCATCAAGATTTAATAGTGATTCATAAACACATGCTTTGTCGCCATATTTTACGCTGTCAATCTCTGGATTGTTTGGTCCAAAACTATTTCCCAAGTTTGAAATCTCAGGGGCAGAAATATCAAATAAGAAAGCCCTTTCTTTGAAATACTAACATCAAGGGAAGCTAAATGCCGATTAAAACCTTAAAACATTTGAGCTACGATTAGTGCCACAATGTACCCATGGCTTTATAACGTTGAAGGACAAGAGATTTCAGTATTTGTTCAGGTTTCAAAAACTTCTATGTTTGACTTTCTTCAACCCACTTTGTGCAACAAATGCATCACTTTAGCCCCCTAAAAGTTCACAGAAACTTTGCTGTCATGTTCCAGTTTAAAAATAAACCCCTATGCAACAAAAAAGAACCCTCAAAACACTGTTTTGGTTGTCTTCGATAACGTGTTAATGAAACATTGTGGTGGTGCCATCTCTGAATATATCGCACCTCGTTCTCATTCCAGTCATCTGTGTCGTATTTCCATGGCAACTGCATCTGCGGTACAGTAAGAGTGGCCTCGGATGTGGCAGTTTCACGGATGTATTTACATATGCACGGGGATGTTTGGTCGTTAAAAAGTCATTTAACTCTGTCAAGACTCTGGTAAAAATATATTAAACTAAACTGAAGTGAATAAATCTAGGAATCCATAGGTTTAGCTTGGAGAATTAATTCAAATACAAGATCAGTGCGCATTACTCAAATTCTGTAAATCTTCCTGGCGAGAAAACAGCATTATTTGTGACATACTGAATACCTTTTAATGTGGACTCTATTTATGAATATTCTGGTTTATACATGACGCCATTCTTTATATATTAGGTTTGCCATGTCTTCATATGAATATCTGTTTCTCAGCAAGCTTATATTCTGCACCTGGAGGTGATTTCTATTGATATTTAACAGCCGAGTGTCATCCAGTGGCGTCTTCCAGTTAATCTAGTCACCAGTCCCCTGTTTATAAAGGTTGGAGTCCAGCAGCAAATAATTTGGCTCTGGACAGTTTCTGTACCTGACACGACCTAGGCTCACACTCACACCATTAAGATGAAGCTGCTGATACCGCAGTATAAAAACAGTTATATAGGTGGAAACTCATTTTTTTTCTTGCCTAAATTGTAAATAAATTCCATGTCACGATAAACCTTTCTATAGGGAGTATATACCATATTACTGTACAACAGATCGTTACATGACGACATTTATGCAGTTGATGCAAAGTGCCAAAAACAATACAATGTGGCAAAATGTCTGCAGCCTAAGTTTTTCGCTGAAGCAAGGGAATTCGAAGGTTTATTATATTTTGTTATCGACACGCTTATCTTACGCGTCCCAAATAAAAAACGTTAATCAACAGAGACAAAAAATAGATAGCAGTGTCCCTCGGTTGGTTTGGGTATGACAGTGGTGTAAGACTAACGGTGATATGTCGATGTACCTGCTCAGCTGAATGATCTGTTGACATCCACTCCCACTGTTAATTGGTCTGTAAATATTCCTGTCTGTCACAGCGTTTAGGAAGGAATATTCGACTTTGCACGCCACTGACCATTAGCTTAACAAAAACATGTGAAATGGGATTTTAGATAGAACACCTAATCAGAAGGAGATATTGACATTATCCTATTCTCAATAACCAGTTGTTTAAACTCAAAGGCAATGATAACAGTGGCGAGCATCATTTTCACTTACAAAATGCAGAACGAATTCCTCATCACTTTAAACATCGGAATTCAAAGAAACGCAAACCAAATGTCGGCGATACTGCAATATTGTACATCAAATAACTATATCTGAAGCAGTTGCTTTATATGTTCTGTATGGGAGTCCATAAATCAAATTAAGAATGGACTCCAATATGTTTTGCGCTTATGGTGATGTAAATGCAATAACCGGTGTTCTCAGACTGTAATTCTGTGCCGACTGTTTTGAAATTGCATCATGGCTGGACTGAACATGATGAGGAATATTTGAACCCTCTGGGAGCAGTGGGGTAGCTTAATGGTTAAAGTGTTGGCTCGTCATTCAAAAGGCCCCAGTTCGATTCCTGACATGGATACAATGCGGATTTCTGGTTTTACGTTTCCTTCTGAATGTCAATGTGTTTGTTACCCTACCCTGCAGGATCCCCGATCTGTTACAAATTGGACATGGCTTGGGTGAAATGGAACAGCTCCAGCTTATCCATCAGTCTTTTTTCAGGTTAAGTGGCCTTAATGAGCCGAGGTTGTCAGGCTTGCATCAATGCACAAGGTGGAAACAGTGCTACTGTCTGTATGAACTTGCTTTTGAACCCCCTCATTTGACATGCCTCATTTGCAGGAACACAGGAACGTTTTTCACAAGGAATGGTTCTTGTTATGCCAACTCCACATGTATTTATTTCTGTGCTGATTCTCTGTTTACTGCATTGAGTACTCAGTTACCTTATGTTTTACACAGACACAATATTCCAGCTATATCACCTACCCTTGTGGACTATTGATTCCTGGCCAAACAAACGGTTCACATGAGCACTGATCCACTGGGAATGATGGCATACAATCAGTGAAGTCACTCATGAAGTTGAATTGACATATTTATATATTTTCAGTCATGTCTTCAAAGTGCATGGGTGAGTCAATGTGTGAGTTGGGTTTCAACAAGCTTTGAACAACATTTAAGTCATATCCCTGCATGGAACCTTTAAGTTGGGGAAAGCCTGGGGCTATATCAAACATTTAAAACTTGAAACTCATGATCATGGGTATGGTTGCTTGCAAACCTTGACACATAATCAGGACTGATAATTATAGGTTTCTAGCATGTCAAAAAAGGAGAGTGTATTTTCTTCACAGTCATATAAAAGTATTTGTTTCTGAAATTAAGGTCCCTATGTTATGAACTTTGTGTCTTACAAAACACGTCAGACTGACATCCATCCCAAGATTATCATTTCCATAGCAGTGTAAAAACTGATTCAGATCAAGCATGAGATAATATTTTGTCATTTATTGTTTTTGGGTGACATTTAAATAAAAACATTATCCCTATTTTACACCATTTACGTAGGGATAACAAGTATGGAGTTATTTAGTGAGTTCTTTTTGGTCAGAAATATTCCATATTTTGGTCTCCTCTCATCAACATGGAGACATATTCAATTGATCCTGAATACATTCTGTTTGAGATCCGAGGTCAAAGGACACTCAGTAAGGACAAGGGGTCATGTTAGCAGCTTTCAAAAGGCATGCTTGGTTTTGTGAAAGAATGTGCTGTTAACGAAAACTGACAATTTTCAGCTCCACTTTCACACAAAACATGTTATATCTTGAAGACTTTACCCTTTAGGACTCTTAAGAAATTTTGAATGCTTGGTCCTTAGTGAATTAAAGGGGTGTCGATCTGAACCCAATAGGTCAATCTCTCCCAAACACCTGAAATGGTAACATGTCCAACAAAAGACAAAAACAGTCACAACCTGTGTAAAATTTATTCATTTCAGGTTTCAAAATTACAATCTGATGCAAAAAATTGTTTGTCACCATAACAACTAACGAGTGATGAATGATGGCGTAACAAATTGTGACACATGAAGATGAATACATGAAATCAAATTCCAGATCTGGACACCAAAATTCTTGACCCCTTGGTGACAGTGTGATTTATATACACAGTTCACAACAATGTCTTGATGACAATGAGGAATTCATGTTTTGATTATGTCTGACGAGATACACCTCAGATTGTAACACTTTTCAATCAAATATGAAGGACAACTTGCAATGATACTTTGCCACAAATGACATACTAACTGTAAGGTAATGAATCTTTGACTCAGTTCAAATCATCAGTTCAGACGGACACAGGTGATGACATTTACTTAACATGTACATGTTGAAATTAATAAATTCATAATTTGACATTAATGAGAAGAAAAAATCCCACTGCCTTTTTGCCTTTTAAACTAAACCGAAATACAATCATCTCCCACCAGTCGAGAAAGAAACATACACGTGAGAATAATGACTTTTGAATCAAACCTATTCATGATCCTATCAGACAAATAAAACAAAAATACAACACATAAGTCGTTCAACCAATGATAGGTACTGATAATGTTTCTTTACCAGAGAAAAATGATCTCCGAGTCACATGAACAACCTCAAGCAGACATGGCAGTTTTTGAGGGTCACTACCAAGTGATGAAGCTCCTGTTCCACAAAGTGACCTTAGCAATTGTAACAATTGTTGTAACAAATGTTGTATGCCTTGGTCAAAGTAGGAGTACGATGGTATGAGCTCCAAGATCACTTTGTAGAAAGGGAACAGTATTCCACATTTCACAGATCAGTGACAGAAAACATTGTCACACAATAGCGTACTGCTGATACAACAGATCCCGGATAACGTAGTAGTCGTCACAGAGAGCCCCCTCTAGCTGTATCCTCCCAGCCTCGTTCTGAAACACAAAATGTTATCCAAGTATATTCATTAACATAAAGGTAATTTAATAAACACACACTAGACACAACAGGAATTTACAAAGTCACTGAGATGAAAGCAAGGAGTGCACATATCATATCAATATTGGCCCCAGTGTCATGATTATAGCAAATTTTAAACACGAGATTTTGCACTGTGTAATCAGTGATGAAATATTGTCTCCATCTGGAAACTGAAACACCACTGTTATGAGAGATGAGTTTACTGGAACAGGTAGTCAGCCTTGGCATCAGGGTGACAGCATGGGATTTTATCCTGATGGTGTGTGACACTGCTCTTAACATCAACCACTGGTCTGTCTGATGCAGACTCCTACTGTTTACACAACATTTCCTCCCTTACTCTGTTGATCTAGAAACACATATACCTCATCTTACAACTCTGACGGTCATCAACTTTCAACATAAGTCATATGAAATAAGCATGTTACTTGACATGGTTTACGATATCCTTTATTTGCTATAATGTGTGCGTGAGTTAGTTTTATGGTGCTTTAAGCAATATTCCAGCAATATCACGGCAGGGGGCACCAGAAATGGGCTTCACACATTGTACCCATGTGGGGAATTGAACCTGGGTCTTGAACCACAAGGCTACCCCACCGTCTCATGTGTTGTAATGAATTACAGTAGTATGCCACAGTTACTTCCTGATTTGCAGATGTGGAAAATCTACTTTGTGTGAACTTGTAGAGTGCAAGCATGAGGTCTTAGACTCTCTGAGGCCTCTATACAATAACTGTAACTGTTCAAGCCTGTCAGTCTTGAGGATGTCCCCTGATAGGTTTTCTGAGGAGCTTGAATGCCGTCATATCATAATTGCACAGATGGATGAGCATGATGTCAATCACTGGACTATCTGGTCCAGACATGACTGTAATGGATTTCTAGTCTGTACATGCTTATATTGGATTTGAGTCTATGAAGGCTTAAAAACTGTACATTCCTGATAGACTTAGCTGACACTCACACAATGTAATAAGTAAAAAAGGTCAAAGTCTCAAAACAACAAGCTGTAATGCATGGACAAAACTTGTCTTTACATGTTGTTGTTGAAGATTTAAACGCCTACAAATGCCACTAAAAAGACAAGCTCAGCCAATGATCCATCTATCAACTGAAGGAAATAAGGACCTTATTAAAGTAGAAAATGTATAAAGTCAAATGAAAAGGACTGTGTTTCTGCTGCAGTTAGCAATATTCCAGAAATGTTAAAAAAATGTTTGGGTCAAACTGTTGAAATGTGGTACTCAGGTCCTATTCTGCTTGTGAATCAACATGGGGAGACAAACACTAGGTGTTTGAGACATATTCTGAGTAAGATTCCCACTGGTAGATAAGTTGAGTTGAGTTGAGTTGGGCTTTACGTCACATCGGCATTATTCCAGCCATATAGTGACGAAAACAAGTCTGCATAAATAAACATTGCTAGAGTAACAAGGGGCTATTCTACACTAAAATCCCAGGGGAAGACCCACAAGGTTGCAAGGTTTCTTTTCTGTTGGAGACTCCCGATGTGGAAACAAGCTGGATGAGAAGGGATGGTGGGAACCTCTTCCCGAGTCCCTACAGGCAGTCCAGAAATCCCAAGGAAAAACAATCTTTGGGTGCTGGAAAGCAATTCTGTCACAGAATCCCACAGGGGGGAAAAAAACCTGGTGTCTGATATCCATTTTGGAATACAATCAGGCAGACAAACATGTGTTGGGAACCTATTTTGCCCTGACATCAACACAGGTATTTAAAGTTCAAGTTCTGCAGCGAAGCACAGTGTTTAAAGGTTTTGCTTGCCCAGGTTCGATTCCCACATGGGTACAGTTGGAAGGATTGGTGTGGAAGTGATTACAATCAGTGAGTGCATGAGGGAGGTTTACATATGTTCTTAAACAACAACCCCCTTCACTTACGCACTTGAGAAGATATCTGTTTCAATGCCCAACTAAACAAACCTTGAGTTTTTGTCACAATTCCAAGAAAATCCTCTTCATTCTCCTTTAACAAAACCCCCAAAACATCAGCATCAAAGAATGCAACAACTTTTCCCCATCCAAGCTTGCAGATTATTTCCAAACCAAAGGTTGACTATATCAACATCTGTACAAAATAAATCAAGATGGATGTTTTATCAAAGCTTGTCTCCATGAACTGAAGTTTACCATGACAACACAACCTTGCATTTGCACATCTGGCTGCCTCAGCAAGAACCATGTTTGTAACCATCCCTATTGAAAAGTAAAAGCTATGGTTAATCCCCAGCACAATGTGTAAATACTTCAGTGCTCTATTAAAGAGGATCACTCAACATCAAAGGTGAGAGAGAAAATATCATATGTTTTCTAAAATAAATTCCCTCTGTTACAGTGCAGCATTCAAGAAAAACTAGATGGACAGATTTCAGATGGATATTTTATATGAAGAGCATTATCACACTGTCACCAAAACCTTTGAATGTATCCCTACACTATTGGGGTGATGCTGTTTTGCAGGACATTTTCATTTGCAGAAGCCATTGGTCAATTAACTCCCCCTATCCAGCTAAAATAGGTGGAATTTGTGTTAAAAAAGACAAAACAGTATCATAAATTTAATTTTAAGTTCAAACAACTTACTCGCAATGGGCCGTTGACCCAACACTGTTAGATCATGAAACATGATTTATGACGTCATTATGCAGCATGACATCACCTGCTGTGACGTCATTTGACAACAGAACTGATAATGGCCCGTAGTTGAGGAATCAGCGGGCCGCTCATTTCATTAATGAATTTCTTTCTTTATGCGTCGCCGATATAACTAAATTTGCGGCTATATAACCACCGGTATACGTCCCCAATTTGTCAAACACAGTACAGTTATCCCCCTAAATGGCTTTATTTGTTTCTCTCGAAAGTAGATATATTCAGAGACTAAGCGTTAGTCTAGTAGCGAGTGAGTCAGAAAGAAGTTCTCTACCAACAAGTTTGTAGCCATTCATAGTAATGGTTTTCATGACACACTGCAAGCACTTTATGACAATACATGACCACTGACACAATGTAGACTAATCACTGCTCAAAAAGAAAATTTGCCGAGGGGCAGCCTCTGGATTGACTTTCACACAATTATATTGAAAACATCTGCCATTTCTGTCCTTTATAGTTTATTCTGTTGTGCAACTTAAAACACCCACATTGGCAAAGCATATATGATCCTGATTAAATTTTACTGGTATCTGTCTGGTGAATCACACTTTTGTCAAAACTGTGCCTGTTGCCAAAAGGCACTGTAGCTTACCTTTAGAATTCAGGATTATGTGCAAAATGACAACATGCAGTCTTACAAGTGAAAGAAAGACTGCACAGGTCCACAGCTGAGTAGGCATCACAGTTTGAGAAATGATGAAGTCTGGGTTTCAAACTCTTAATCAAAGGTTTCACATTTAGGGGCACACATCTACACTGCCAATGAATGTTGTTAGGTGAAATGGTGTTTAACGTAGTACTTAAGAATATTTCACTCATATGACGACGTGCATGCGTGTGTATGTGTGGGTACTTGTACTAACCCAGACTTAAGCTGGTTCAATAGTGCTAGCCCACTGAGATACCATGCCACAGTTAAGCATGAATACCCCACTCAGACACATTATACTGACTCCGAGCCGACCTGTCCTTGTTGTACCCATTAATGCCGAGTCCCAGGCAGGGACTAACAAGTACCATATTTTAATGTCCTTTGGTATGACACGGTCGGGGATCGAACCTGCGACCTTTCACTCTCTGGGCGGACGCTCTAACCACTACACCATGGAGGCAGTCGAATGAATGAATGAGTGAGTGAGTGAGTGAGTGAATGGAATGAATGGAATGAATGAATGAATGAATGAATGAATCCACTTAAATCAGCCTGCTCACCCTCCTAACTGCCACAGCGTTGTTACAGATAAGCACACCAGCCACAAACTCGCAGGGGATTCCTTCTTGAAGCAGCACCAGCTTGAAGTCGGACAACTTGGGCTCATTGATGAACACAGATGTGTGCACTGGGACCTGGTCAGAGGAACATCAGTTACAGATCAGTCAGGACAATAGAAGAGTGAGTTTTCATTTGGTTTGGTTGTTGTTTAACGCTGCACTCAGCAATATTCCAGCTATATGGCGACGGTCTGTAAATAATCGAGTCTGGACCAGACAATCCAGTGATCAACAGCATGAGCATTGATCTACGCAATCAGGATACAATGACATGTGTCAACGAAGTCAGCGAGTCTGACCATCCGATCCCATCAGCCGCCTCTTACGACAAGCATGAGTTACTGAAGATCAATTCTAACCCATATCTTCACAGGTAGATCAGTTAGTGCAGACTGAGTTATACAGAATAGCAAGATAGGCGACAGCAGACAATGTGATACAGATCATAGACATTCATCACTGTATAAAATGTGAACAGGTATGGTTATAAAAGACTGAATATCATAAGGGGATTCTTGGAATTAAAGATTACATCTGTTAAGAGACTGCTCAAATTGGCTCAAGCACTGGTCCTGTGGTGTTAGATACCAATCTAGACTGATACCATTCTCTCTAGTAAAGAAGTAAAACAATTTCAGTGTATCTACACTAGCAACACACCTGTGTTGGTGGAAAGGATTCCAGTGTAGGGATCAGATCCTGAGCCTCTTTATCATCTTCTAAGGCTGAAATGAAGAACAATTCTTTCTGTTATTCAAGAACAAGTCATGAAAAATGTGAGTGAGCGTGAATGACAGAAAGGATATAATTCCCTGAGATGTAAACATAGAGGTCAGGTTCACTTAAATTATGTAAATTATGATATTTCCTTGTGGGATTCTGCTTTTATAAGTTGTTGTTAATCATTTTCTGGAGCATTACTTTCTAATCCTGAGCCATATCCAGCAGAGCATGGTGACTTACATAACCACTCCATCTGGAGCATGAACTAACAGTAGATTTACCTACCATTAAGTGTACCTTTTCACTCTCTGAACATGAACTCATGTCAACTTCAACAACAATTTAATATGAACCCCCACTAGCATCATCCACCTTTACATTTACTTTTCACCATTTCAGGAGCAAAGTTAGGCTTTACATACCTTTGCGTTTCTCTTGGTCCATGGCATCCCCTTCCTCAATCTCAAACATAGCGCCTGTGTCTGTCTTGTCACTGGACATATTGAGATAGCCATCTATCCAGGCCAGCTCTATATCTCTGGCCTTGGAAAACATCAGGGAGGTTACCAGGTGGTCTCTCATCCTCAGCTGTAACACACACAATTTACAGACAGTTGGCCAACCATGACCAGAAACTTTCCCCATACAAGCAACAGGATTGTTGGTTGGTCTGTTTGTTGTTTAACACCGCACTCAGCAATATTCCAGCTATATGGCAGCGGTCTGTAAATAATCGAGCATGGACCAGACATTCCAGTGATCAACCTCATGAGCATCGTTCTATGCAATTGGGATACGATGATATGTGTCAACAAGTCAGCAAGCCTGGCCTCAACAGGAATGAAGCTCTTGTCGACATATGAAAACCCAGTGCACGGATATGACACCTTTGGCAATAGATATGATGTCTCTGTCCCCATATATGAAACCCATGTCCGCAGATATATGACGCCCATCCACAGAAGTGAAGCCCATGTCCACAGATAAGAAGCCCTAACATACCGTTTAAAACAGTGTCCAAAATACCTGTCTTGTGGCCATGTCAAATATGACTGAAATACTGCCAATTTGACTAAAAACCTTAACTTACCATAATCACTCACTCTCTGGGAAGAATAACATGTGAACAGCCATTGTAGATGGGATTTGACACATATAACAGTCCATATTTCAAACAATGAGAAGTTCAGAGATGCAACTTTCTGGAACCTGTCCCAGTTTTTCAATGGCATGATGTGTTCCCAAGGTTACACATCAAGATTAACACTGACAACAGCACAGAAGATTGATATACAAGTACAGCAAAATGTCATTACTGAGTCCGCTGAGATAAACCAGATAGGATAGTCAGCACTATGTGACAACTGCCATCCATCTGCAGTAACTGTTTCTACATAGATGCATGACAGGGAAACTCCCAGCCTGAATTCTGACAGAGGTCAATGCTCTGGGACATGCTGGCTCCGAGAAAACTCAATATCTCACTGGCAATATCCCTGAATATAAAATATGATACTTTACTTCTTTTATCAAATCCAGGAGTTTACTGAATTTAACTTTTATCAAAGAGATCAATTATACCCTTTTAAAATTCTGAATCAGCAAGCCTGCAGGTTACAGTTGCAGCTTATAGTGTTGATCGACTCTAGCTTAAAGCCTTTTCATTCGATTCACAGATATCTTGTGCATCTTCAATCCTTGGGGATCCCATGGGTTAATGCAGGTTAACTCAAACCTTATCTTTTGTGTCCTCTTTCCGATCATGATATGATTAAAGGTACTTGGGTTTCATACCTTTACCTATGAAACCTCTCTTCATTTAGAGTTAGGTTCCCTTTTGGATCCTTGTAGTTAGTTGTAAGTTAGTTTCAGCTCTAATCTCATTGAGCAGAGTAAGCCAGTGTAATGCTGGGGAAAAATCTCTCAAGTTTTTAACATGTTTGGAGATTTGAAAAAAACAAACACTAGTTGTTTTTGATAGGGCTTGAGGTGTCATATAAAAGCTGATTAGATCAACTCATTAGCATTGCTTTGCTTTAAGCTGGGTCAGTTTGATCCCCTGCACAGAGTATATTGCAATCAGAAAATGTGTGGCCTGTAGAGTGTATCATGGCATGCACTGTTCATTTTCCATGTATTTCTTTCAATTAAATGTCTTATTTTAATTCTGCCATTATCATTGTAACCATGAAAATGGCAGTCTTACATATATACACCTGGTTGACGGAAGTGATCATAATATTATGTTCCTCAAAAAGAACTCCAGAAAAACTCCATATTTTCTTTATTTGACATTATTAATATGCAAGAACAATTGAAGGAAAAGTTCAAAGGCATTAAACTTATGACTAAAACGTACCTGGTAGATGTGACTTTCTGTGGTGGCATCAATCACCTCCCCTACCCTGGGTGTGAAGATGTTGCCCTGGACTATTGACTGAGACTTACAGTAGTCTGCCAGTGCATCAGTTGCCTCCGCTGATCCTCTCACCAGAACCTGCAGCACAGATACATAACATGGGAGCTACTGCTGGATGTGAACATCAAGTGCATCATATATACAACAGGTAAGCTATTGTTCATTGTGCACATCACCTGCATACTACATGTACTACACAACAGTGGGGGCATGGTGGGCGAGCTGGCTAAGGCACCAGGCAAGTGATCCAGCGAGCTCGAGCCCACCTGTGACCGGGTGTAAAGACCTTGGAGTCAACTTCGTGTGCAGACTCTCTGTGTTGTCACTACCCCTAGTGTACAGTACACAACCCGGTGCACTTAAAAGAACCCACGAAACCGTTTACAAGTATATGACCAGATGAAGGCCACATGAATACGTGCAAACACCTAGTTGCGGGTACAGCAACGTGCAGTAAACTTGGACAAAGTACTGTGACTATGTGTCTACCCAGCTGTGAATGGGTACTTCGTAAGAATGGGAAAGCCACATTACATCAGTGCGTCTAGTGGCTTCAAGAGTTGTATGCTCCCCAGGGAGTTGAGATTGAAAGTATGATGTGCCGCTGAGAGTGACATCCAATGATCGAGGGAAAAAATACCAGTGCCTTGAGCATGTACTAGTTGCGTGGATATGTGCGCTATATAAATATCCCATGAATATCCCATAATAATAACATGTAATCTATTTTTGGATGTGAAGATCAGCAGCACCAAACAACACAACATGTAATCGATTGTTGGATGTGAAGATCAGCTGCACCAAACAACAGAACATGTAATCTATTGTTGGATGTGAAGATCAACTGGACCAAACAACACAACATGTAATCTATTGTTGGATGTGAAGATCAGCTGCACCAAACAACACAACATGTAATCTATTGTTGGATGTGAAGATCAGCTGCACCAAACAACACAACATGTAATCTATTGTTGGATGTGAAGATCAGCTGCACCAACAACAGAACATGTAATCTATTGTTGGATGTGAATATCAGCTGCACCAAACAACACAACATGTAAGCTATTGTTGGATGTGAATATCAACTGTGCCAAACAACACAACATGTAAGCTATTGTTGGATGTGCATGACCTTAGTCCCACAGGAATGCCTGATATGTATGGAATCCTGAAGGACTGACTGGTAATCAAAAGCTGGAATCATATTTAGAATGAAGAAACATGTATTTGTGAGTTGGGTTCAACAGTATTCCAGGTACATCACAGTGTCATCTTCATGTAGGTTGGTTGGTTTGTTGTTACACCACACTCAGCAATATTCCAGCTATATGGTGGCAATCAGTAAATAATCGGGTCTGGACTAGACAATCCAGTGATCAACAGCATCAGCATCGATCTACACAATTGGGATACGATGACATGTGTCAACCCAGTCAGCGAGTCTGATGGAGGTCTCCTACCCTTGTATGAGTCTGGTGATATCCAACAGTTGGGTATCACCAAAGGCCAACATGATGCATATGGTGCTAACATACCTAGAAACAAAATCAGGGCAAATCTGGTATTCAGACCCATAATTGTACATTCCTGTTTCAGGGATGGAAACTTTATCATGTCATGGGGGGATTAATTAATATTCACAGCTATTTACGATACCACAATTACAGTTATAACATTTCCTTGCTTCCCTGACAACACACTGTACTGACAGTATCTTTGTACCAGACAACGGAAGAAAGAAGTCTCTAATATGAAGCCACTCAAATACAAGATGTGCATGTGGGGATTTGGGGACTGTGTGTAACAACCCTGGGCTATATATCTCAAATGCTTAACACAAAAACAACAAGGAAATGTCATGTTTATGTATGTTTTCAGTTTGCTCCAGTGCAGTCTTTTTTAAATTTTAATTACTGGTTTACAGACTTAAAGTGAAAAAGTTGGGTTTCGAGAAAAATAGAATAAATAAGACATTCCAATTCTGTTTTCCATCCTCAAAAAATAAAGAAGACATAAGATACGTATAGCAGAACACAAATATAGCCAGGCCAAAGTATAGCTGGAAAGAACACAAAAGTATAGTTTAAGTATAAAATGGACGTAGTATATGTACGTATAGGTGAACATAAATATAGTCAGACACAAGCATAGACTGACTGACTGAGTTTAGTTTTACGACGCTTTTTAGCAATATTCCAGCAATATCACGGCAGGGGACACCAGAAATGGGCTTCACACATTGTGCCCATGTGGGGAATCCAACCCGGGTCTTCGGCGTGACGAGCCAACACAAGCATAGATGGAAAGAACACAAAAGTATAGCCTAAGTATAATAGACATAGGATACGTATGTATAGGTGAACATAAATATTGCCAGACACAAGCATAGATGGAAAGAACACAAAATTATAGCTTAAGTATGAATAGACATAAGATACAAATAGCTGAACACAAATATAGCCAGACACAAGTACAGATGGAAAGAACAAAGAAATATAGCATACCGTAAGTATAATTGGACACAAGGTAAGTATAGCTGAAAACAAGTACAGCCAGACACAACTGAAGATTGAAAGAACAAAGAAGTATATCATACCCCTAAACATAATTGGACACAAGGTAAGTACAGCTGAACACAAGTATAGGTGGACACATGTAAACTGCAAAGAACACGAATGTATAGCAAAACGACAATTGGACACAAAAAAGGTATAGCTGGGCACTAGACAGAAGCTGAACATATGCATTCCTTGACACATACAAGCTTAAACATGTCTACTCACCAGTTGTTTTGGTTTGATCTGACTGAGTATTTTGCGGACTGATTCCCCATCAGATCGGCCTTCAAAGTCTATGTACAGAACACTGGCATTAATATCAAGTGTCACATTGGAGGAGATGCACTTTGTCGGAACATCAGACACATCTGAAACATAAGACAAAGGTGTTTAATCAAAACTTTCAAACAAATGCTATCAGAGTCTGCTAGCCAGGTAAACAACACCATCAAATGAGTCATTTGAAGACATTTCAATGTACGTCACTTTGTACAATGTAAATCGGTTTCTTAATAAGCATTGCACACTGAAAAGAAACATAATACCTTTGGAAAAGTCATACAAGGATGGAGGCATACAATGATATCAATATGTAAATATCAATATCATCAAACTGCACTTTCAAAAATGACTTATTCATAGAAATACACAGGGGTCTATGAATTTAATGGAAGATACAGGCAAACTTCAAAGAAGCAATGCTTTTAAAATCTGCAGCCATCACGAATGAATCAAATATCAGTTCTGATTCTAATAAGAGTCTTCAACAAGATCAGAAACTGTTCTATTATTTGAATGTGATCATTTTTAATAATTGAGTTTATTTTCACAAACCTTATCTTGGATGACTTCAATATTAAATTCCTTGGAAATTAAAGATGACTTTTGACAGAAATCAACCATAGTGTACCGTATATTACCGTAGATAAGCCGATCCCATAGATAAGCCGACCCCCTAGCTTGACCCTTGAAATGAGTGTCAAAATGGTATGTTTCGTACATAAGCCGACCCCCCGCGATGAGTCGCGGCCCAACTCACACCACTAGACACCTGATAGTAATGGATGTAACATCTGGATGTTCTGGATGTAAAACGTAAGTATGTTTGGTGAAAATAGTATCTACCGGGTAATAAAGATTATACTGACCATTATTCAGGAAACCCGTGTTTGTTTTCTTTCTTATAATCCCAACGTTCACTGTAATAGGAAACCCTGATGCTGCTAATTTTGCTGAATATGACATCATAATGTTAAGTTACACGGGCAGGACTGAGGACAGTGCTATAACCTACACTAATGCCAAGGTGAGCTAAACAAGAAGACAAATAAAAGTGAGTGATATTTCCTTGACAAATAAATCTGAGTATAAAATCGATGTATGTATTTGTGCATGCGTGCAGGCGGATTTCAATGAAATAAAAGGACTGACGACCATGCTATAACCTACACTGGTGCCAAGGTGAGCTTAACAAGAAGACATACCTTGACATTTTAAATCTGAGCATAAAATAAATAATTGTATATGTGTGTGCGTGTGGGCGGATTTCACTGAAAATAATATTTACACTTTAACAAAATTGGGATGTGTCGTTATTGATTGGAACAATTATGTGAAATGTCGTCTTCATTGCTTTTTGTAATGTTTTCTCTAGCTGATGCATGTTGTACACAATCAAGCTTACTTTTCTTTCAATCTGGTGAACTAAAAATGCATTTGACAAAAAAAACATGAATCTGGGCGGATCATAACAACATATAGCTTTAAAATATCCACATTTCACCTCTGAACCAAACAGTCCAGATTCTTATTCAATTAACACATGTTTAAAAAAAACCCACTGCTATTATGTAATTCACTGGGATATCAATTAATCTCCATTTTAAACATTTTTATCAGTTCACAGAAATAAGATAACAGGAAGCATAAAACAAACAAATGGAGTGATTCCTTGTCCTACATGTCTTGTTATTTGCTCCAAATCAATCTAAATACTCCCACCAATCACTCAACGTGGGGAAAATGCAAGCTTTCAAAGCTCCAATTAGCCAAAATAATTTGCAGATCCTTCCACCTCATCCAGGCATTGTTAACAGACTTGGGTTATGTGATTACTGTTTGATACTGAGATGGAGTTATTTCAATCCAATTCTGATTTTTTGGGCAATTTGTAAGGCTGTAAATATCCAATAAGGGTCAAAGGAGGCTGGTATTTCTTTATCAGGTAATGCTGTGAAAAACTCATTCTAGCTCTTGGTTCTTAAATGAATTCCAACCGATGTAAAAAACATGTGAAGGGCTTCCAACATCCTGAGAGGAATGCTAAATATATTTCAGATGAAAGAAATGTTTTCTTCATTGAAGTGAGAAAAACATTCCCCACAAAATCATGCTTCTTGTGTATTGTTTTTTAAGGAAAATGTCCTTAAGCTAATTTTACCATTGTCTAATGTCGTCTTTGGATTAGAAACTTAAAGAGAAAAAGAGGACAAAAAATATAATGTTTGAAGTAATTTGCTGTTTGAAGTTAAATCAGATAACCACAGTCAATTAAACGGCAATATTTAATCTTTCTTGACTATGTAAAAGAAAAGAAGACATGAAGATGTTTTTGTCATAAAGTCTTCACACTGAACAGCTGACGAGGTCAGTAGATTTTCAATGGAACATTAAAGGCAAAAGATACCTTAAGAAGGTTTCATCTTAGTGTTTTGCATCATGACCCTGTGATAGACTTCCATTTTTGAAGGGTAATGGAGAAAGGTTCACCCCAATCTGCTGCATCTGATGATACTCATGGCAGCCACTTTTAGGATTTCATAGCTTGAGTATTAGTTTGGCACACATGCTCAGAGAAACTTGCAAAAGTCCAATCAATCCTATCAGATGTCAGACCCGATTCCTGGTCACACATCCAAACGTTTCCCATTAGAACCTTAACCTGTCAAAAATTTGTTTGTTTGTTGCTTTAAACGCCACACTCATCATTTTTCCAGCAATATGGCGATGGTCTGTAAATAGAGTTTGAACCAGAAAATCCAGTGATCAACATCATGAGTATCGGTCAGTATAATTGTTATGACATGTGTCAACCATGTCTGACCACCTAATCAAGTTAGTCACCATTTATGACAAGCATGGGTTCCTGAAGACCAATTCTAAACCGGATCTTCACAGGAATCCTGTAAACACTCTTTCCCATTAGAATTTCCCCCTACGAAGTCTGATTTGTGTGTTATTTATGCAACACTATATATGATGGTGGTCTGTAAATAACGGTCAGGACCAAACAATCCTGTGACTGACATGAGCAACTGGGATACAATGTGATGACATGCACCATAACCATGCATTACCACCCGATAACATCCGCTTGTGACAAGCATGGGCTGCTGCTGAAGACCAATTCTGACATGCACCACAACCATGCATGACCACCAGATAACATTCTCTTGAAACAAGCATGGGCTGCTGCTGGAGACCAATTCTGACATGCACCACAACCATGCATGACCACCAGATAACATTCTCTTGTGACAAGCATGGGCTGCTGAAGACCAATTCTGACATGTGTCTCCACTGTTCATCTTATCAACTATTCTTGTCACAAAACTCCCACCTTCCTGTCTGAAGTCCAAGCCCTTTCCTGTGAGATGTGTTTGAAAGAAGGTCCCCACTCTCTCCTGAATTGTACTTTCAAACATTCTATACTACAAGCAACCAACTAAAGTATCAATAATCACACTGACAGACAACAAAATTAATGCTGTAAAGTCCTGAATCCAAACAAAACATAAATACACCCAAGTCGTCAACTGCCTGGGGGCCAACTAGTACACATGATCCCCGATCATGTATTTGACACTCAGAGTCTTGGGCCTCGTATAATGTTAGATATTGTAAAACTTCATGACATCCAGACAAGCAATTTCTACAATCTACTCCAACTGTCCCTGGGGGCTCATACAGCATTCCTTAATGACAGAAAAAGAGAGGTGGAAGAAACAAGATGCTGGTTGACTTTCAATGACTGGTAGGTGATAATGTAGATGTCTCAGTAGGGACTTGTAACAAGTCTCATCAAGTACTTTGTGGCTTTAAACAAAGGAAAGAAATTACAATATCAGTTCCTCATGAGACATTTGAACCTCTGACTTAATTTACGCTCCATATAATCAGGAAATAGGGTAAAACATTCACGATTATTTTCGTCACAGGCCCTGAATCTTGCTTGTTATTGTGAAACAAGTTCTACTTATTTTTAGGGAGCTTAATTTGGTTAAGGGCCAGAAGTGCCTTAAAATGCTCTGTGGTTCTTTGATCACTTTCAAGCTGGGCATAGATATTGCCAGCACGAAGTGTGAATTGTTTAGTGCATTATAAACTGTGTAAGTATGGTTTTATGTCACCTTTTAGCAATATCACAGCAGTGGATACCAGAAATGGACTTCACATATTATACCCATGTGGGAACTTGAACCTGGGTCTTCAGCAAACACTGTAACCACCAGGCTGCCACAGTGCTCTATTATACTTAAAGACCACAAATCAAGGTTGGCATACAGATTTCAATGAGGCCTTTCGATACATTTTCTAATGGATACATTGCAGGTGATTCTGTGGCACTTGATTAAAAGCAATCATTTTTTAGATGTCAGACATATGAGACCACATGGAGAAATATTAACACACCAAAAAACACACCATATGTATGTTCTGACACCAAGAAAGATAGTGAACTGCAGCTATGTTGTGATATGAAGTTGGTTTATGTCAACAAAGGTGAGGTGTGGTGAAATTGGGTTTTACGTCGTAAGTGAGAATATTTTGCTCACATGACGACGTGCATGCGTGTGTATGTGTATGTGCGGCTGCTTGTACTAGTCAAGACTTAAGCTGGTTTTATATTACTAGCCCACTGAGATACCATGCTGCAGTGAAGCATGAATACCCCACTCAGACACATTATACTGACTCCGAGCCAACCAGTCCTTGTTGTACCCATTAATGCCGAGCGCCAGGCAGGGACCAACAAGTAACATATTTTAACGTCTTTTGGTATGACGCGGTCGGGGATCGAACCCGCGACCTTCCGCACTCCGGGCGGACGCTCTAACCACTACACCACAGAGGCGGTCATGTCAACAAAGACACATACTTTATCAATATGACTGTCAAAGAGGCTATTTTGAAAATTAGATAAAATTTACCAGAACAAGTTTTTGTATCATCATTGGTGGGAACATATGTGCCAAGAACTTTTTCAGAAGATGCACACCCACACTGCTTTAAGCACAACGGACAACAGACAAGCAGACCATGAGTGGTGGCTCAAAAATAAATTAGTCTTTGTTAATGCTAAATCTTAGTGTTATTGTTTCAGTGCATAGAAAATTATACACCAGATAGTCTGATCATATATCATTATTCAATTCTTGATTAGTAAACATATGTTTTACATTACTAATAAAATAATTAACTGTCCCTAGACAACATCAGTACACAAGTGCCTACACAGAAACAATGCTGAACTTTCTAAGAGTCAAGAGGACTTGTGGAAACCTTATCATCCATATTCGTCTTTATTCAGATTTCTCCATCAGTTATGTTCCAGAATAATATGAACACTTCCTGTGTGTTTGTCCCCTTTTTAACATTTATGAACTGTAATTAGCCCTTGACATCTTTACCCCGTGTAACCCACAGCCAAGCCAATATTCCCTGTTGGTCTCTTTATCACCAGTAGCATCCAATTTCCTTGCATATTTTTTGTTCATAATATTTTGTCTCCCAGCTACATTCCATGCCAGAACACAATATCCGTTCTGCCGCTTTGCTCCACGCCAAACACTGTTGCCTGATTTCTGGAGGTTTTTATACAAAATATGTCATACATTAGATTTTGGACATTGCTGTTGGCTCTTAATATGTCATTCATCAAAATTATGAATTTGCTGTTGGGTTTTCATCAGCAAGGCTAAATGAAGTTTCATATTGAATTCTCAAAACTATTTTCAAACAAAATTTGATGAAGGACAAGGTACGATAATTAGTCCCCTTTTTGATCAATAGGATCTGCTAAAACTTCAAAAGACACACAATCACTATGAAATTCATCAAAAGATTTCACATACTGAGTATCAACACTTACACTCACCTGTTTTTTGACTTATTGCAATAGTAAACGTAGAGGTTAGATGAAGATGTATCCAAAAGGCTGATTATATTTAGGTTTCTATTCACATAGGTTTCTATTGGACAGCAGCAAATCATACACCAAAAATGATTTTCTTTGGTGAAACACAGAAAAAAAAATTAGTGCCATATCCTGACTACTACTCACCTGAATATGTCATATAAAGTATAAACAGTATGAAGTTCCAGCTATTTGGTAGCGGTCTGTAAATAACCACCTGATCCGGCCAGTCGCCTCTTACAACAAGCATGGGTTACTGAAGATCAATTCTAACCCAGATCTTTATGGGTAGAATAAAGTTTGAAGAAAAACAGACACAACAGATGTCTGCCAGTACTGATCTATAATACCTCCTGCATAATTTCCAAAGATAATTGGAAAATTCATTAATTAAACAAAACATGTGAGAGAATTGGATGAACAGTGAGTTCCATCACAACCTGTGAGTATAAGGTTATAAGGAATTATGTCTTAAGTCCCTGAATGCAGAATATTTTTCAGAAATCAAGATGTCATGTTCACCAATTAAAAGATATGTTCACTTGGGGCAGATATCTCATTACACACCTCGGATGACATGGAAATGTGATTACGCTTCTTATTAATATGTATTTTGTAGCCTCAAGAGACTTCTAACTGACAGTGAGTTTCAAGTACCTCCACAAGGAGGGTACTTCTTGCTGAGTTGATCTGATCATGCACTGGAAAGTAGGCATAAGACCAGAAATAGTCCACCAGCAGCCCTTAAATATACAAACACTCAAATATCCTACGCATATTTACAGAGCAAGCGTATTTTTAGCTTGAAGTGGGTGCCAGCCCTCCTGACATAATTAGTTTGTTGTTAAATGTCAAATCATTCCAGCTGACAGAATATGTGACCATAATTCTTGACATGTTGAGCAGTCATATTTAGGAAAATTATCATAACATGATATGCTAAACCATTAGTCTGGGTGTGACATAAATCAATGACTATTGAAATAGCACTGCAACAGTATTATACTAACTTAATGGTTTGGTGTTTATGTTAATCAATGTAATAGAAATGAACAAGATACAGCAGACAATGTCAAAAGTTGGGTTATTTGGTTGTGGCTACTCAAAACACAGGGAATACAATAATAAGTCATAATAATGCTAGCAAATCTACACGCAGCAGTAAGGAAATTCCACATTACAAAAAGTAGGTCATTGACATTTAATGTTTAAGGGAAAATCTGACCGAGATCTGAACACATGATCAGTGGATTACAACAAATCACAACAAATTATCTTAGATTAATAATCCACCATTTACCTACTTACTAGTCATTTACAGACAATAACCTAGCACATTAAGCTGAGATTCAATGCTTTTTGAGCAAGTATACGTGTAGGATATAACCAAAACACTTAATCTGAGAGAAAAATTTCATTTGTGATATTTGTATAGATCATAATAACAGTAAGTGTCCATCCACCTCTCTCTGAGACTTAACACTGAACCTGTCCCACACTCTCAGTTTAGAGAACTCAGAATTTGCTTATTCATGGTCGGGATACCAGAGCATGTGCTTCCCACATGTACCCTGATGGGGGGAATCAAACCCATGACTTTGGTGTCACTAGCAAACACTTCATCCACTGGGCTACTCCTTTACCTGTCACTTGGGAAGAGTGTCATACACCTACCTTGCATAGTGTCATCAGCAGTTGCCGTCTCATTCTGAAAGCAATTAGAGACAAATATCACACACTTTGTAAAACTTTCAATGTTAATAAAAGTACACAGTATCAGACAGATGACATAAAAAAACCATTTCTGTTATTTCTAGAATTACAAAAAGCACAAAACAATTCCAAATGTCACATACTAAAGCTAAATGAAACAAAAGTCACAGCTATTTATACCATTGTTAAAAATGTTAATCAAAGTGAATATTTTTAAACCACAAAACTCTTTCGTTATTTCTTTTTCTGGAGATTTAGAGTTAATCAAAGTTTAACTGCGCTCTAAAGATCTGTAATAATATCAAATCAAAACCTATCAAACCTTTTTATCAAATCCAGCCCAGCACCAAAGTAAGGTATGCATACTTTTGTCATTTTAAAACAAGTGAGGTTAGTTTGTCCCTATCAGTGGTTGAACAGAAACAAGAATGGTCATTCTGTAATACAATCCAGTTCTGTTATCATCACTAATTATTAGTTGTACATTACCCAGTACAATTGTTTATTCAATATGACCTGAGTTCATATATTGTTGGGTATAAAATCACACTGAACCAAACACAACCATAAAAAACAGGAAGTACTTGAGCACCACTGCACAACAGAATCTGAACTTGGTATCAAGTATGTTTTAAAAAAAAAAATTAACAATCATAAACAAATCTTTATAGAAAACAAAGTCTGTTGTCAAATTCTGATTAAACCATAAACATGCGTGAGTTCAGTTTTACGCCTCTTGTAGCAATATTCCAGTAATATCATGGCAGGGGACACCAGAAATGGGCGTCACACATTGTACCCATGTGGGGAATTGAACCCGGGTCTTCGGCGTGACGAGCGAACGCTTTAACCACTAGGCTAACCCACCACCAATATCATAAACATGCCAAACAGTAATAATACAAGGTGTTCGTGAAAAGTTGGGTGTATCCTAAACCATCAGTCAGAAACATGTGATACTTAACTATTTTTAAGGTGTATATTTCCCCTCCCATCGTCCAGTTGAACAGATTCCCGAAATAACCATATCATGACAACACATGGCGGCGTGGCTAAGTCAATCAACTATATGATACTGAAGTGATCAAAGATAACTTATCTGATGGACAATTCTATTTTCTGCCCTTACCAGAAATAATTTGCCAATAACTCTTACATACACTGTCAAGATGCCTATCTTAAAAAGCTATAGAACACTTTGAAAGTATCAGTATTCTGTGCAGACACAACATTTGCTTGTTATGGACAATGACCATGATTGGTTAACGGGCACCTGGTGATCATGAAGGGGTAATTAAAGTGGCGCTGGTGAATGTTGGAGTATAGTTGCCCTAATAAGCCTTTGTTTCTACATGTATCTACTGTTCCTGAAACTTACGGAGTCATCAGAGGTGTCATGATATGCCTCACTGTGTATCCATATATACTCTTAAAAAAAAGAAACGCAAAAGGGATATGTTTCTGGTTTTAAAGAGAAACATATGTAATAACGTTACAAGCTCACAGTATGCCATGTTACACGTGTTGAGGCACTGATTGTCAGAAAAAAATGACAATAAAATTTGTTTGAGAGATCTTCATGTTCTGCACGTACGACATGAGCAAAATCCCTATAAAAGTGACGGGTTTTCGGTTTCCATTGCACAGTGTTAAGCCACCGACACGCAATACAGTCATGCCCAGACTGAATGAAGCACAACGCAACAACGCCATTAGTCGCTTGGAAGCAGGTGAATCTCGATCAGATATTGCCAGACTGTGAATGTCCTCCCAAGCACCATCAAAAGGCTATGGAATCGTCACCAACAACATGGATCAACTCGTGACCATCCCAGATCCGGCAGACCTCATGTGACCACGCCCGCACAAGATAGCTACATCCGGTTACGTCACTTTCGGAAAGGACCACCACCGCGACGGCTTATGCCTCAACCTTCTACGAGATGCAGGAATCCGACCTCGACATCCGGTCAGAGGCGTCATCCTCACCCAGCAACATCGTCAAGCACGGCTGCAGTGGTCTTGGGCACATCGGGTATGGCCTCATCTACGATGGAGGCGTGTTTGGTTCAGCGATGAATCACGTTTTATGTTTCGTAGGCAGGATGGAAGGACCCGTGTTTACCGTCGGCGAGGTGAACGTTTTGCAGCAAACTGTGTGCAGGAAGATTTGGTGGTGATAGTGTCATGATGTGGGGTGCCATCACCTTCAATGCCAGAACAGACCTTGTGCACATTCGATGGAATCTTATGGCTCAACGATATGTCGACGAGATTCTTAGGCCCCATGTGCAACCCATCATGGTGAATGTCAACGACGTTTTTCAGCAGGACAACGCCCGTCCTCACACAGCCCGACTCACCACTGCCTTCTTGAGAAACCACAACATCAACATTCTACCCTGACCCTCCAGATCACCAGATTTAAACCCCATTGAACATCTTTGGGACGAGTGATACTTGTTATTGACGTTGTGTGAGGTTAAACTTCACCTAGTGACCGTGGACTTCACCTTTGCAGACTTTGGATGTTCTTCAGTGCATGTGCAAAGTTTTACAAATGTCATACAGAACTACCCGGAATAAACTTGTTCACAATTTGCCTTTTGCGTTTCTTTTTTTGAAGAGTTTATATCAATCTTCTAAACTCAAAAAGACTACTGTGAGCATTTAACAGCTAAAACGTTGACCCAATTTTGCTACAAATGTGAACTGAATTAAACTAATAGTAAATGTAAATATATAGAAAACAATTTTGTATGGATCAAGCAGAATAGCTAAAAGTAGTGACAAAACATGTAATACATGTATATATATAAGAAAATTTTGCTCTACCTCACATATAATAATGAAGTACAGTTTTGTCTGGAACTATTATAGTGCTTTGAAGTTTTAATAGATCAGAGCAAAAACATATTTCATTACATTCTAAATGGGGTGGAGCAAACTTGACGACTTTTCTCAAATAACCAATTTCCCCAAGACTAATCTTGTGTTTCGTGGGAGGTGAGGTGAAATGGGGTTTCACGTTGCACTTAAGAATATTTCGCTCATATGACGACGTGCATGCATATGTATGTGTGGCTGCTTGTACTAACCCAGACTTAAGTTGGTTTTATAGTGCTAGTTCACTGAGATACCATGCCACATTTAAGCATGAATACCCCACTCAGACACATTACACTGACTCCGAGCCGACCAGTCCTTGTTGTACTCATTAATGCTAAGCGCCAGGCAGGGACCAACAAGCACCATATTTTAACGTCTTTTGGTATGATGTGGCCGGGGATCGACCCCACGACCTTCCGCTCTCACCACTACACGATGGAGGCGGTTAGAGGCGGTTGTGTTTCATGGGAGATTCAGTTAAAAGATAAACCTACTGTGTTTTGAAATTTGAAGCAGTCCCACTGTAGAGCATCCTCTACATCTCCAGGGCCCGGATGTTGGTTTACACTAATACCTGGACCAATTCCGGTGGTTCTCGCAATCTCAAATTACCTGGGTACTCCATTTCCATTTGCCAATTTGACTGGCTATACTACCAGGTCTTACATACCAATCAGAAGGTGAACTGATGTTTGGTTGGCCATATCAATAACATCATGGCCAGTCCCGCTGATCATAGTTGAACTTGTGAGAAATTCAACTTTGAAAAACTGACTGACACGCTGAAGAAGGTAATAAAAATCTTTATCATGGATGGGATGATTTCATGTCCATCATGGCTTTGAGTTCCAGGTAGTATTAGTTACCTCCCTTACCCTTTCACTTATGCTGACATTTGATTGGTCGGTAAAATGCTAATGAAAATCAAAGGCAGGTAATTTGTGATGACAAGAACCCCAGGAATTGATCCAGGGGAAGGTTAAAATATGCTAATCCTTGAGACACAGAAGGTGACCATAGAACTGTCTCCCGTAAGTGTGTCAGAAACAAAAGATAATGGATTTGAATCCACGATTCTATTTCCAGGTTTGGGAGCTACATACTTGCTCTTGTGGTTTCACCAAAGTTGCAAACATAAAATCCCTGAATCACTTTCTGATGTCTTCCCAAATAAGTGAGTGAGTGAGTTTAGTTTTACGCCTTACTCCGCAATAATCCAGCTATATGGTGGCGGTCTGTAAATAATCGAGTCTGGACCAGACAATCCAGTGATCAATAGCATGAGCATCAATCTGCGCAGTTGGGAACCGATGACATGTGTCAACCAAGTCAGCGAGCCTGACCACCCGATCCCGTTAGTCGCCTTTTATGACAAGCATGGGTTACTGAAGATCAATATTTTAACCTGTACCTTCACGGTTATCTTCTCAAATGAAGCTGTTATATAACTGAAATACTGTGCTAAGATGTGTTAAACCATACGTCCTCGCTGACTGTGTCCTACCTAGGTTTCATCATGAGATAACATGTATATACAGTCAAGTTCACAAACCAAACAATGTCACATCAGCATGTATCACAATCTATGTTGTTCATCTCTGCACTTATCAATATTTAAGTCACAGGATAATGGCCTGATAGTAATTAACAAATAGATGAGTTTTTTTCATCTGTTTTTTTTGGCCTGATGTAATGTATTATTTGTCAAGCCATTCCAAGATGACATCTCTAAAATGTTTTGAGACACAGAAGTGCTTAAATGACAATGTAATGTGGTTTAAATGAAAAGGCTGAGGCACCTTGCCTCATTAGGAGGACTTTGGACTGAAGGTTGGTAATGATGTTTTGACACATGAAATTCACAGCCATTACAGAAAGCTTAAACAGTGCTTAAAACATTAGCTGTATTTGAAAAACAATTTCATCTGACATTTGTTCAACACAGTCAAGGGGATTCAAGTGACAAAACAACATCCCAAACAAACACACACCCACTAGAAAAATTCAATCAATAATGTAATTATTTCTGAAGTTTTTTTGCTTCAATATTGACATAAAGAACGTTTGAGAATTGAAATAGAACTCAACTTGAGACATCTGATTGATGTCATTAATTAAATCAATTTCCAAAGGTTATTTCACCACTCTTCTGAGAAGAGCATGCTTGAGGGTTGATTAGTTATAACTGACTGTTCATTTTAAGAAAATAAAAGAAATAATAGAAAAAATAATTTGCAATATTTGTCAACGATTGAACACAATCAATGCTGAAGCTATTTTCAGCTCGGATTCACTTCATCTTAAAATTGGATGTTGGGAAGACAGCATGAATCATGTCCAGTTCACTTTGCTGTGGTGATTCCTGTAAGTTTGATGGTGAATCTACATGCATCATGAGACAATGTTTCTTCAGTATCAAGCCAGCAAGGTACAGTTCAATAAAGCATACTCACAGTTGCCATGTCTTCATCAGGAGCCACCACATCAAGTATTGTGTAATCTTCCAGTCTGGAGAAGACAGAATTGCATCATCAGCATGTGCCATCACAGGGGAGTTTATTGGGCAAATAAAGCAAGGCTGACCACAATGACACAAGTAGATAATAAATTGTAGCTCTGTAACAAAGTGTAGGTACTGTAGCTCACCTTCACATTTGAGCTTTTGTTGGTTTTTGGTTGCTGGGTTGGTTTGTTGTTCAACGCCACACTCAGCAATATTCCAGCTATAAGGCTGCAGTCTGTATATAATCGAGTCTGGACCAGATAATCCAGTGATCAACAGCATGAGCATCGTTCTACGACATGTGTCAAACAAGCCAGCTAGCCTGACCACGCTATCCGTTAGCCACCTCTTACCACAAGCATGGGACACTGAAGACCAATTCTAACCCACATCTTCACAGGTGTTTTGAGCCTTTGTAGCCCTTTTGTTTCATGAATATATGAATATATGACAACAAAAGATTATACAATTCTTTCTTTTACTATTTCGGTCAGTAACCTTGCAACTTTAATTCTTTAAATCAAATTTCCTGTACAGATATAATTTTGGGTAATTACTATTTTATTTCTTCGGAGCCTGTGCTACAGACAAAACCAGACAACCAGGGTAGTGCTTGGCCCAAATCAGATGAGTTAGATACAGACAACTTTTGAGAACACAAGCAAGGTTATACTTGAGTTTAAAAAAAGGACAACTGGTACTGGTTTATGTTCCACAAGGATGCTAAGTTAATAATACAACCCTTAAGTGAGTGAGTGAGTGAGTGAGTTTAGTTTTACGCCGCACTCAGCAATATTCCAGCTATATGGCGGCGGTCTGTAAATAATCGAGTCTGGACCAGACAATCCAGTGATCAACAGCATGAGCATCGATCTGCTCAATTGGGAACCTATGACATGTGTCAACCAAGTCAGCGAAACTGACCACCCGATCCCGTTAGTCGCCTCTTACGACAAGATAGTCGCCTTTTTATGGCAAGCACATGGGTTGCTGAAGACCTATTCTACCCCGGATCTTCACGGGTCTCAACCCTTAAGTAGAAACCTTAACTTTTCAAGAAGATTTTTGTGTGACATTTAGTAGCTGTTTCTGTAACTGATAAAAAAGAAGATAACAATAATAATATATCAATTACAGACTTGAATGAACTCTTCATCACTTATGGAGTTAATATGGTAATGTGTTGAGGTGAGCCAGATGGAAGCAAGACGATCCAAAACCAAACAAATCGTGTTGAAAGCGGGTGTTTGCAGATCGATGAAGCAAGTACGATTGATAACATCTGTCCTATGTACATACAGTAGGGTTTGATGATGATTGATTCATCTGTTGATGCATTGCAATTATTGTAAGAACCCTTGACACAGCATCAATGACAAAGAAAACATCAATAGTTGAAGTCAATACCCTGCCTTGCGAGACTACTAGTTGCTTTGATAGATGAGACAAATTACAAAAACTAGAATGTATTTTTATTTGTAAGAACATGCCTTCAGTTATTCCTTTTTGTTTATCTGTTCATGTTGCTCCTTTAACTAGGTGTTTGTCAAGTGAAAAACAATAATGACAAATCACAGCCAGGAAAGATGATGCTTTCATGCAGAAATATTAATTGGCTGCAGAGTTTTTTAAGGGAAACAAACAGTTCCTGTTTAAGAGCTTATCAAAATCATTTCCATGGAAACATTATAATTTTATAAGTGAGTGAGTTTTAATTTAACTTTGCATCTGTGTTATTTCAATCATACAGTGACAACACCTAGTCATATTTAACTTTAAAAAACCCCAGGAAAACAAATTCTAAAATTTTATTTTATAAAGATAACTTGAATTATTTGGAAAGGTAATAGTGGAGCATGTAGTGTTTGCATGTGTATAATATCATGCCAAAATGATCATTATTAGAGTAATAGCTCAAAAGCCTAGAGCTGTCCAAATCGTTTCCATGGAACCATTACTAATGATATTTAGAAAATAATTCAAATATCAAAAGGCACCAGTTGACCTGATGAGTGCATAACGCTGATTTGTTGAAAAACACTGAACAGTTTTCAAGTTTTGGTTCCAAGCATGATGGGAATGCTTTTTTACCCTTTTAAAACACATTAAGAGCAATGGACCATTATATACATCAGAAAAGGCAAATTCTTCCACAAACCAGTCAGAAAAATATTTTTTCCTCAAGTTCAACAAAATGTGTTGCTAAAAGAAATGATTATTTTATTCTTGTTCCAGTGAATTTCTTTTGTAAATCTTGAAGATGTGACTGAAAAAATATTCTTACCATTTGATGGATATGAAATGGTTGTTCTCTATACACTTCACAATGTCTTGGATACTAAATAATTCTAGGAAAAAGTTTAACATGTCGGGCATTGCGTACTATTTTCCCTGACAATGAGGGTACATAAATCAGGAGGAATTAACTATAAAATTGTTAAAACACAAACATACTCCCACAACAAATGTTGCCAAACCACACAGTAGGAACATGTTGCAAAGACAATCCTTTCCTAAAATACTAAAAATATTAAAAAAATTGATATATCTTCAATGTCAAATGTATACCCACAGCTAGCAGTGATTTAACACAAAAGAAATCCCCTTACACACTAAGGCTATCTTAAACAAAATGCAATGTCTGTGAATTTCGTCAAATCGATGTTCAAATAACCATATTTACCCTGCTGGGACAAGACATATATTATGCCCAAAGAAAAAAATTCATGGACTTCAATTTGATTGAATCACACCTTTGAGCTCATGATAGTCTGAATTTTTCTTTTTTTATATCTACATCATATTACAAAATGTAAACTCAGAGACTATAGCTCACCTACTTTAGATCATTTGATAGCTTAGATATTATTTATTTGAAATAATTATTTGAAGAAGGTAATGATCAAAACACTTTTTTCAAATGTAACTCTGTTTAGTTCACCTGGGAAAAGAAAATACATATATAACTACCACTGTTATAATACACTGTCCCTAAATGCTTGGCTAAACATATATGAATTGCATATGAACAGGCAAATGTAGACTGACAATCTTAATGAATATCGTCGTTATTATGGTAATTTCAGTTAGTGGTTGAACACAATGTTGACCACTATATAGAGACGTCATCAAGTTCATGATGTCATAGCATTGTCAGGGCATTTTACAAAATCAACTGTCAAAACAATATCTATGAGATGTTGTTTGATCTGACACGAGCAATAACCGATGTGGAACACAGGTTTGGATGATAAAAGTCATAGGTATAAACCTGTCAAAGAATAATAACCCAGCTGAATCTGTGATTCAAACACATGATATTAGGATCCGTCATAACAAAGGGACAGAACTCTGCACAACGACATGCAGGAACCACAGTACCAGTTAAACATCAAAATCCAAAAGTTTCAGAGCTTCAAGACTTCTGTAAGAGTTATTTATCCATGTTCAGATGCCAGCTGATAGAGGAACATTATTGTAACATTGCTCATTAACATAACTGATAAGGAAAAAAACCCAAAGCTGAATGATGAATCTAGATATTGCTGCACACCATCACAATTGATGGGAAATGAGCGATCATATTTCACAGTGTCTCAGATGGTTTTATACCATGAGAAAAGTCTGAAAGTTTACACCAAACAGCCAAGTACGAAACAAACTCACATGAAGCTTCAGTCACAGTGAGCTAAAAGCATTAGCAGTTCACTCACAATCTGAAACACAAAACTAGTTTTTTGTTAAACCTTTGGGAGTCAAGTGACAGGATCTGAACTCATTCCAATATCTCAGAGCATTTCCATCCAACACCAAGACAGCCTTCATTATGAGAATAATGATATATATCACATTACATAAAGATTGCCTAAAGATACGAAGCCAAGGTCGCAACCTTGCTGTCAGTGAAAAACCCCTCAAAATATACATCTTGAGGTTCCCTTGCACTGCAAAAACCCCATATGATGTTACTAATGTTTGTAGAGGGAACACTGTCAGTGGTTTCGGTTACAATCAATGGAACATGATGCCTGCAGGGTCAATGTGATATGCTTATGACTATCATTTCAAGCTTCCAATAACAGTATGCAGGCAGTCTTGGAGCGTATCCATCAAACTCAGCAGTGTGAAATCTGTTTTCAAGGACATTTTTGTTCATGAAAACACAGGCCAGTCATCTAAAGTCAGATGAAAATATTTCAACTTTAACCAGGAAATCCAAAAGTTTCAGAGCTTCAAGATTTCTGTTACAGTTCTTTATCCATGTCAGCTGATAGAGGGACATTATTGTAACATCGCTCATTAACATAACTGATAAGGAAGACTGACTGACTGAAGACTGACTGACTGACTGACTGACTGACTGACTGACTGACTGACTGACTGAGTTTGGTTTTACGCCGCTTTTAGCAATATTCCAGCAACATCATGGCGGGGTCCACCAGAAATGGGCTTCACACATTGTACCCATGTGGGGATTCGAACCCTGGTCTTCAGTGTGACAAGCCACTAGGCTACCCCACCGCCCTGATAAGGAAGTCATTATGAGGGGTTGTTTGTTCCTCTTGGAATTATAGCCATTTCAAGAACTGTTTCGTACAACTGCAGCACTTTTAAAAGCATTTATTTGAGAGGGTCGCAGATGTCTGAGGGCCAGTATAGGTGTATCTTGGGCGTGCCAGATCCTATCCTCAAGGTTTTGAAAAGTGATACACTGGAAAAATCTTTAAGTGAAAGTATTATTTTGAAGAGACAGCACCTTTGTTGAAAGACAGACATGAGTCAAAACTTGGGCTCTGTTTTATCATAGAGATCTCCACTTTTGATAGAACTTCACTCTTTGAGAAAAAATATATCAACTTACTACCACACTGAGACTCTCATGCAGTTTAGAAGCTATTATTTGCTAAAAGCAGGCATGTTGTCCAAAACCTATTCACAATATTGGCTGACAAAAGTAAAGGCTGTTTTGTCCTTTGGATGGTGTTCCCTATAAAAACCTCCATAC